GGGGGGGGGGGGGGGTAGAGATGTGCGACCTTCATTTAGGCCATAAGATGAAGAGTGTCGACTTTATAAGTTGAAGAAAACGAAAAACTGCAAATAATGCGATGACTTCCAGGTTTTTTCAAGAAACGAGACGAGACACGTACATTATGCGAATGAAAGCGCCACTTCTTGAGATTGAGTATTCAGAGCTGAGGAGACTATTCCATCTGCTTGCCGATAAAAGGGTAAAATTATGGAGTTAGAAGTTACAACATACAGGTTGATCTCTTCCGGAAACGAAATAAGCAAGGACCGGAAAGCGATTTCAACACTTCAGTATCGTAGGTGATCATCGAGTGCTCTGAAGTGTGCAAATTGAATTTAAGATTTGTAGTGCCATACTTCACATACGTTTTAGCGCCTCGTGGATATGTTGTTGGTAAAGAGAACAGAAGCGATCACTCATCACAAAGCCGATAATTCAGCACAGGTCACCTTTAACGGGTCAATATTTTAGACTAGTGCCATTAGTCATCTTCAGGGCCTATCCTTTTGTTTTTTGCTACTACATTTATTGCGTAATCCCACTAGCCCGGCCTGAGAAACGTCGATCAATAGTCTGAATACCAGACTATTAAAAGCGCCCTGTGTGTGAGTGTGAAAATCGCTACCAAGAAAATTCAACACGGGGGGAGAGGGTACTTCTTAGTAATAGGTTAATGGTGGCGTGTCGCTGAATAGGGTCGTATTTTCTCAACGCGATTGACTGGGGTTACACGAGCAAAACAGTTATTACAATGGGTCGTACATTTCCGGGATTTTTTGGGTAAGAAAATTCCAGTATTAAAGACGATATTTAAAAATGGAGAGAATCGCGTTAAAAAGACGTCTCTGTGTTTGATGCGGTCGTTTTGATATTTAGCCGATTAGCTCGCATTACAGGATAACCCACCGAAAAGGCTTCGTAAGGTGGAGAGATAAACAGAGAGTGGCTAAGTCAGGATCGCGTAAGTGACTGGGACGGGGTTCATAATTGGCCTCAAAATAGATTATCATGGAATAGCAGCTCTGAGAGGCCGGGCCAGCGGCACGTACCCTACGAAAATTGACTCAAGATCCCTCCCCCCCCCCTTTCGATCAAACAACAATAACAGCTGAGTGTTATCGTCTACTGCATTTACTGCCTTGTGTTACGGTTTATGGTTTTCTAAATTTAAGGCCTCACTCAGCATTCAGGTTGGGGATTGCAATTGGCTCCCTCAGTCGCATGTTGTTCATGTACTGGCGATTTGCGATAGGCTTACTTAATTGGGCCACGCACCCCGTTATAGAGCGCAGTACCATCCCCAGCGCTATGCCTTTATCGTTAATTCTTGTCGATGCCTGAAATTTTTCTCACTGTTTTAAAGTCGGTAGTGGCAGTAGTTGCAGTGGATCTGTGAAAATCAGTCAGTCCCTTGTTGTCTGATCGTCGGGTCAACAAAGGATTTATTTCACCCATACTGTATTTGGTCTGATTCGTCTGCGGGAAACAAAAACGTATAAAAGACAAGTCCGCCTGTTCCTAACATGTGGCTATATAGCTCAATTTGTAGAAGCGTATAACTAGTATATGAGAGGCACGGGTTTGTTGTGTGTCTTAGCCTAAAAATTTCAGCATTTTCCTGAAATAACGCTAGTTTTAGTTAACATTTTATAATAGTGCACTTGTTCGTCGTAAGAAAAATAGTCTGTTTATAATTGAACATCGACTGGCATGATTGATTATTTATATAACGAAGCGAGAAGGTTATGACCCGTTATATCAGCAGTCAAACCATTTCACATTCCCTTTTTGTCATTGAACGCATATTTCACGTTTTGCGTCAAACTACGGGAGCGATTTATCAAATGAGAGCTTGTCTAGAAAACGAAATGCCCACTCAGATCTTAAATCAAGCCCTTCGTTAATTTTATTACATGAATTTTTCAGAAATGATCACTCTATATAAAAGCGAAAGTGTGTTTCATCAATTCATGACAATTTCAATTGATAACCTTATGGCCTTCAAAGTATGGCTGGCCGGGTTATTATAACCCTGATCATTATACGAGATTCACAGCCGTGCCCGTTTTTCACCCAGTGGACTGTAATTGGTTGGTTCAGTAGCTATCGCTATGGCGTTCATTTGAGGAGAATCGATCAGGAGCACTAGTGTAGTATATTCACTAAAGAGGCCGAGAAACGTTCGATTATTTTCAAAATGGAGTGACATTACACAAATTAAATTTGCACCTTCTAGAATGCATGTTCTTAAATCATTAAATTGCATCTAAAATAAGTGGGGTTCATTTTAGTTACTAATTAGGCGGGAGAAGAAAATCACAGCACAATAAACTACATTAGTATCTCATTAGATGCGCTTCTCATCAAAATAATCAAGCGAAGTTACAGTACTCAACTCTTGTTAAAGTCGACTGGCAGAAATT